CAAAAAAAAAAAAAAAAAAAAAGAAAAACTTCATATCGATGTCTCCCCTCCACATGACTCCCCCACGTGTCCTGACTCAGGCATATCTGAACATGTCATATATACTTGCTCTTCTGTGCCTTATACATGCTGTTCTAACTGGTTCTGTTAAATGAGTCATGAATGGTCAAATACATTAGCTAGGGATGGATGCATGGGCGGATAAGGGCATGAATAGATAAATAAATGAGCTAAGACTGATCAAAAGTAACCTCCTATGCCAGGCACAGTGGCTCACACCCGTGAACCCAGCACTTTGGGAGGCCGAGGCATGAGGATTGCTTGAGGCCAGGAGTTTGAGACCAGTCTCGGCAACATAGGGAGACCTCGATTCTACAACATTTTTTTTTTTTGAGTTGGAGTCTCACTCTGTCGTTCAGACTGGAGTGCAATGGCCGCTCCCGGCCACTGCAACCTCGACCTGCTGGGCTCCGGCGATCCTTCTGCCTCAGCCTTCCAAGTAGCTGGAACTTCAGGTGCGTGCTACCATGCCTGGCTGCTTTTTGATTTATTGTAGAGATGAGGTCTCGCCAAGTTGCCCAGGCGGGTCTCAAACCCGAGGGCCCAGGCAATCTACTCACCTCGGTCTCCCAAAGCGCTGGGATTACAGGCTGAGCCACCGAGCCTGGCTACAAAAAATTTAAACAATTAGCCAGGCGTGGTAGCATGAGCCTGTAGTCCAAGCTACCTGGAAGGCTGAGGTGGACGGATTGCCTGAGTCTAAGAAGTCGAGGCTGCAGTGAGCCATGAGTGTGCCACTGCACTCCAGTCTGGGTGACAGAGTGAGATCTCGACTCAAAAAAAAAAAAAAGTAACCCCCTCTATGGAGTTTTCCAGTCACTCATAGTAAGTGAGTAGCTCCCTTTGACACCCTCTATTTCATTCATTCATGCATTCAGTAATCAGTATATTTTTGCATTGTATGTATGGCATTGCTCTAGGCACTGAAATTATAGAAGGAAACAAGACCGGGCCCTGTATCCAAGCAGAGAGACAATATTTCAGGGAGACCAACAATACTGTATCACATCACCAAATAAACGACATGATTTCAGAGGGTGGTGAGTACTATGAACACAGTAAAACAGCGGGAGATTTTCCAGGGTGAAGAGGAGGCTATTTTAAGGGGAGAAGGCCTCCCTGCCACAGCTGACACCCAAATTACCAGAAGGAACAAGCTCTGTGAAGATATGAGTGAAGAAGGGTCCACGCAGAGAGAAAAGCCCCAGGAAGCTCCCTAGGTGGAAACGAGCCTGGCATGTACCAAGGCAGATTCTCTACTTCTTAGCTGGGCTCTAAGACATTGGATGTCTCCTGGGTTTTTTTTCTGTCTCACAGGTCTGTGTCTTGCCATCCTAACAAGGCAGAAATGTTTGCTCACTGGACATTAGATTGCTAACTAACTAGAATCCTCTGGGCTCCCTATTCTGTCTTCCCTCCCTCCACACTCATTTAAATTATATTGTTCCATTTCTGCTAAGGAACTTCAGCACACACACACTTGTTGCCTACGTGCACACACACAGATATACCCATACACAGGTAAACACACACACACACACACACACACACACACACACACACACACACAATTTACTAAGCCACCAGGGTCTTCTAGTGGGTCAACTGGGAAGACAAACAGATGCACAGAATAGAAACACGACTCACTTTTTGCTATTTGATGCAGTAAAGATGCATGAAGAAGCTTTAGAATCCTGTCTTCCAGCCTAAAATACACAATGCCTGCCTCGGCCAAAGCTGGAGAAAGGGGAAGAAGAAAAGAATAGAGTGGAGATACAGATAGGAGCAGAAATGGGGAATTCGTAAGGATGTACCCCCAAATGATAGGACCACTGTAGAAAAGAAGTCAGGAGACCCAGGTGGGTTTGAAACAGGAGTGGGAAGGACCAAGAACTTACCTTGGCCTTCAGGGTTGGGTCAATGAAATGGGCCACAGGGTACTTCTTGCTAGTCATCATGGGCACTTTTATAACAGAGTTTTTGAGGTAAAAGAGCTCCAGGCTGGTTTTTTTGGGATTGAAGGTCGTCTTCCACTTGGCTAAAGGGGAGAGGGTGGAAGGGTTGCTCTAATGCAAGAAGGGAAAGGATGAAGAGAAGCTAAAAGGCTGGTTAGCAAAGGATGGAATGAACATTGGGATCTGGTTGCGAAACTTGGGATTGGGTGGGTTTTGAAGGCAGGAGGGAAAGACAGAACCAGAACGGGAAGGCCACTGGTCAAGGGCCCCCTTACCACTCAGGTAGATGGCATTGAGGAGGACGAGGCGGGTGTCAGATGGCAGGCTGTCCAGCAGCTGGCTGATCTTGTGGTTGGTGTTCTCGGCTACCCAAGTGTTGATGAGCTCCAAGTTGGTATTGCTGTCGATGCCCAGGACTCTGGGGCTGCTGCCATACAGGCTCTGAGAGGCGTTCACAAAGGTGTCCTTTATGGCCAGGTCTGGGGAGCATTGAGAGGGGGCACTGTGAGTCCCTTGAATATCTTTCAAAAGCAAGTTTTGGTGGGTAGCATGTTTTTCACAGCTTTCGGCTTACTCTAATCCACGTGGTGGAGACAGATTCCCGTAGACATGGTAAGTGAGGTCCCAGGAAAACAAACTCTGAACTAAAAGCAGGAGGATCTGTCCAAGGCCTTTGTTGCCTCTGCTTGCTGTGTGACTGTGGTGTGGCAAGATCATTCTTTTTCTGATTTGCTTTTTTTTGAGTTGGAGTCTCACTCTGTCGCCCAGACTGGAGTGCAGTCTGAGCCACCGAGCCCGGCTTCATTTCTATTTTTTAAAGAGAAGTTAAAGGCTAAGCAATGCAGTACTCACCACCCAGTACTTTGGAAGGCTGAGGTGGGAGGATTGCTTGAGCCCAGGAGTTTGACACCAGCCTGGGCAACATAGGGAGACATCGTCTCTACAAAATAATTAGCCAGGTATAGTGGCACATGCCTGCAGACTCAGCTACCTGGGAGACTGAGGCAGAAGGATCACTTGAGCCCAGGAGGCTGGGGCTGAGGTTTGCGGTGATTGTGCCACTGCACTCTGGCCTGGGTGTCAGAATGAGACCCTGACTCAAACAAACAAACAAACAAACAAACAAAAACAACTTGGCTGGGCATGGTAGCTCACGCCTATAATCCCAGCACTTTGGGAGGCCGAGGTGAGAGGATTTCCTGAGCTCACGGGTTCGAGACCAGCCTGGGCAATTAGGCAAGACCTCTTCTCTACAATAAATCAAAAAATTAGCCCGGTATGGTAGCACATGCCTGTAGTTCCAGCTACTTGGAAGGATGAGGTGGAAAGACAGCCTGAGTCCAGCAGGTGGAGGCTGCAGTGGCCGTGAGTGTGCCACTGTACTCTGGCCTGGGTGACAGAGTGAGACTCCAACAACAACAACAAATAATAATAAAATTAAAAAGGAGAGAGTTAGAACTGATCTGTGGTTTTCAAGTCTTTTAAAGTAGCAGAACTATGTTTTCAAATCAAGTCATGTCTGAAGTTCACATTATAAAAGGGTACTGGTAGAGCCCACCTGGTCCACCTCCCGCTCACTAAGTCTCTCCCACACAGCCTTTTCAACACCCCACTCCTCCCATGACTCCTGAAGCAGCTTCCAGAACCCTAGGTCTCTGGGGAACAAAATTTGAAAACAACTGCATTAAATCATTTTGTAAGTTTATGATTACTACTTACTTCCATGATTATCTACTTAATAACATAATACGTGTAAATGATAAATTCATATAACATAAAAATACAAAAAAAGAAAGTCCCAAGACTCTCTTGACCCCAAAATCAGCAAAACTTTTTTTTAAGTCTATTTCATGTCTATTGCTCCCTAGCCCCATCTCGTAATAAATGCAAAAGGATATTCTCCTTCTACAAGGAGTCAATGAATGCAAAAGCCATGCCAAAGGTCTCAGAGGAACCACCCAGCTCCTGAAGCCACCTGATTCTTCTGCCAAAGCCCCCACTGGCCTGGCACCCCATCCTTGATTTTCCAGCTCTGACATTCCCTCTTGTCCTCTTTCCCCAGGGCTGGACTCCCCCTTAGAATCCTCTTAGGACCCTGCCTGGCAGCCGCTGCCCCTCCCTGGACACTCACCTGGGCTGTGGAAGATCTGGGAGACTGAGGTGATGCCTTTGGATGTGAAGGCCTTCAGGGCTTGGTGGACACAGGCGAAGTCCTTGGGGTAGGAGAGGACGGTCTCCAGGCTCGTTCGGGAGCTGCCCCCGGCCCCTAAAACAAAAGGCAGAGATGAAGGGGGCTTGTGGGAAGAGTGGAGGACCTGCTGTTTGGGATGAGGGTGGAAGGACCTGGCTGGGATGAAGGGCGTTCCCCACTATGGAGAGGTTCACGGGGCACCTGAGCTGGAAGTGTTTTTTGGGAAGACCATACATATTTCAGAAAGGTAGGCATGAGGGAATTATGAGTGATCACACAGAGGTAGGCCTTTCCTTGGCTTTCAATACTCTTTCCCCCCCTTTTCTCCAACCATTTAAATTCTACTCCTAAGGCCTGGCGCGGTGGCTCACGCCTGTAATCCCAGCAATTTGGGAGGCCAAGGCGAGAGGATTACTTGAGCCTAGGAGTTTGAGACCAGTCAGGGCAACATAGCAAAACCTTGTGGCTACAAGAAATAAAAAAAAAATTGCCGGGTGTGGTGTCACACGCCTGTGGTCCTAGCTATTGGGGAGGCTGAAGCGGAAGGATCACCTTAGCCCAGAAGGTCAAGGCTGCGGTGAGCCGTGATTGTATTGCTGCACTTCAGCCTGGGTGACAGAGTAAGACCCTAACTCAAAAAATAAAATTCCCACTCATCTTTCAAAACCATGTCCAACCAACCAATGGCTGTATCAAATTAACTATGAGGGGGGACACAAAGGACCCCATAATTTACTTACTAAAAATTGTGTATTAATTCTTACAAGTTTAAACTTGAGTCACCTTCAAAGTACTCTCCACTTGATGTAATACACCTGTCAAGATGCTTTTTCTGGTCAGGTGTGGTGGCTCACACCTATACTCCCAGCACTTTGGGAGGCCAAGGTAAGAGGATTGCCTGAATCCACGGGTTCGAGACCAGCCTGGGTAACTTGGTGGGACCTCATCTCTACAATAAATCGGAAAATTAGCTAGGCACGGTGGTGCATGCCTGTAGTTCCAGCTACTTGGAAGACTGAGGCAGAAAGATCGCCTGAGCTCAGTAGGTGGAGGCTGTGGTGGCTGTGAGCATGCCACTGCACTCCAGCCTGGGCAAACAGAGTGAGACTCTGACTCAAAACAAACAAACAAACAAAAACAAAACAAAAATAGATGGTTTTTCCACTGCTTAAAACAGTTTTTGAACTCATCGATTTTGATGCCTCTGATGTTTTTTGTTTCACCTTTTCCGTATGAACAAAACGTTTCCCTTTGAGGACATTTTTTTATCCACGGAAACAACCAAAAAAAAGTTGCTTGGGGTGAGATCGGTTGAATAGAGAGGGTGGCACATGGTGGTCATACTGTTTTTGGTCAAAAACTGCTGAACACTCAGTGCAGTGCGGACAGGTATGTTTGTAAATCACCCATCACGAAACGGGCAAACACGTTGACAGAACTCAAAAAAATAAAATAAAATTCACCGAAGCTGAACGCAGCCTCTCACAACAACACTAGCTGGTACACTGATGCTGATGGGTTCCTAGAACTCTTACCTAGCAGGGGAAGCCTGCACTACAAGAAGCCCACTCTCCAAAAGATAATTCCGGTTTTTCTTTTAGTCCTCCCTTGTATTATTTTGTTGGTTTGGGTTTGCAAAGGTTTATCCTACAGGCAGGGACTAGGTTACTATTTAGAGAAGAAAGCAGAAAATCATAAAAGAGGATGGATATTCAATATCCTGTTATTCACTCATTATTAAATATTATTGTACATGTCTTCTGAGCAATGATAGCTAAAGTTTATTGAACATTTACTCGGTTACTGGTATCCTAAGTGCTTCTCTCATACTATATCATTGACTCTTCATCATAACCCCCCCTTTTTTCTTGAGTCAGAAACTCACTCTGTGGCCCAAGCTGGAGTGCAGTGGTATGCTCACAGCCACCTCAACCTGCTGGGCTCAGGTGATCCTTCCACCTCAGCCTTCCAAATAGCTGGAATCACGGATGTGCACTACCATGCCTGGCTAATTTTTTTTATTGATTGTAGACATGAGGTCTCACCAAGTTGCTCAGGCTGGTCTCAAACCTCTGGACTCAGGCAATCCTCTCGCCTCTGCCTCCCAAAGTGCTGGGATTACAAGCGTGAGCCACCAAGCCCAGCCACTATAGCCTTTTTATATAAGAACAGTTGCTATTCCTGTCATACAGATGAGGAAGCTGAGGTTTAAGTAACTTACTTTAGGGGCACAGAGCTAATAAGTGGAGGACGGAGGCAGGATTTGAGCTGTATTTGGGGGGCAATAAAGAAAGTAACGGATCGCCTGCGCCTAGGAGGTTGAGGCTGTGGTGAGGCATGATCGTGCCACCCTGCCTCTGCACTCCAGCCTGGTGACAGAGTGAGACCCTGAGTCAGAAAACAAGAAAAGAAAAGAAAGTAACTAAAACCAGGCTGGAAGGCCAAGGCAGGAGGGTCACTTGAGCCCAAGAGTTTAAGACCAGCCTGGGCAACATAGCAAGACCTCATCTCTACAAAAGTATACAAAGATTAAAGCTGGGTGCTGTGGTTCATGCCTGTAATCCCAGCACTTTGAGAGGCCACGGTGAGAGGATTGCCTGAGCCCACAGGTTCGAGACCAGCCTGGGTAACTTGGTGAGACCTTGTCTCTACAATAAATCAAAAAATTAGCCAAGTGTGGTGGCGTGTACCTGTGGTTCCAGCTACTTGGAAGACTGAGGCGGAAGGATCACCTGAGACCAGCAGATCCAGGCTGTAGTGGCTGGGAGCATGCTACTGCATTCCAGCCTGGGTGACAGAGTGAGACTCGGACTCAAAAAAAAAAAAAAATGCCAGGTATGGTGGTACGTGCCTACGCTCCCGGCTACTCTGGAGGCCGAGGCAGAAGGATGGTCTGAGCCCAGGAGGTCCAGGCTTTTGTGAGCCATGATTGTGCCACTGCACTCCAGCTTGTGTGACAGAGTAAGACCCCGACTCAAAAAAAAAATTTAACTGAAACCAATTGACTGGCATATGCCTTCCAAGCGACATTTGGAAATGTCTGGACATTTGGTTGTCATACCTGGGGACTGGGGTGCTACTGGCATCTAGTGGAAAAGTTCATCTTCTAAGTTCACTGTATCATCTCTAGCAGCTTTCTTGCAATTTCCTCTTGGGAGTGATAGCTCTCTCTCCACTGCTTGTAGCAATTTGTTTATGCCATTCCTAAAGTAATTACCCCATGAGACTTGACAGTAATCCCAGTAATCAGGATGGTGAGGGATTAACTTTTTTGACCTCCCACCAACTCGGGCACTAGGCTATCCACTTCTTAATCTTTTGAGGTAGCTATCACCATCATTACTTCACACAAGAGGACTCAAGGCTCAGAGAGGTTAAGGGACCTGCCCAAGGTCACAGAGCTAGCAAGCAACACGACCATGATCTCTCTCTCTCATGACTTCATCTCTTTGCCTTGAACCATAGTTGGTGGCTGGTACCTTGCTGTGTTGGCTGTAGAGGGTTTTACAAGCAATCGTGTACAAGGTTTTACAAGCAATTACACAATTGTGCCTATTAAATCATTGTTAAATAAAGGGATACTCAGGAATAAAAACATACGTTCCCCTACGCCCCCCACCCCCGCCCCATGAAGCCATTTTTACAGCTTCCTCTCAGAAGCGTAGCTTTGTATAGTAGGTGTCTAAGTTGGTGTTCCTCACAGGAGTGTCCAACATGCGACCTGGAGAAGATTCAATGATCTTACCAAGCAAGACCTGGGTGAGAAGGCTGGCAATGCTGAATGGGGAAAAGGCCATGTTGGTCTCGGCCTTCTTTGTTTCTGAGAAGGCATGGTAGAGCTTCAGGGAGAAATCTATCAAAGCCTCCCCCAACATGGCCTCCGCTGAATGACTCTCCAGATCAGAGCAGGCAGTGACGGGCCCCGGGCAGAAGGGCTCCGCAGTGGGCTGGGTAGGAGAATCTGTGGGGAGCTGGGTTATTGGGTGGGTGGGTTGGGTGAAGGGCCGGGTGCTGAGTTCATCGGAGGTACTAGCTGTTATCCTCGTGGCTGAGTCGGTTGTTGTGTTGGTTGGAGAGTTGGTTACTGAGTTGGTTGTTGGTGAGTCGGTGGGTGAGTTGGTTGCTGGCAAGGTGGAAGACTCCACTGTGGGCTGAACAGATCGATTCTCGGGGAAATATGCCTCCACGATGGTCCTTTGCAAGCTCTCTGGATCCCTGGAACTGGAGCTGGTAGCATTTGGATTTGAGGAGACTCTATCCTGTGGTTCAAGACACTGAGTGTCATTTTTCTTCCCATAGGACACAGTCCCCTCAAACACTCAAAGAGCGATGAGAAAGTAGAGACACGGAAGACATTAATTTCTGAGACAGCCTGCTGGGTGAGGAGCCCACCCTGAAGTCACCACCACTCCTTCAGAGAGGACACCATGCAAGGGTGGGGGCAGGGTGCAGCAGGAACATTCTCTGCAGAAAATGAGGGGCAGTCAGGGACGATGTGTCGTCTCTCACCAATGACTGCCATGTAGGAAGCTGTTTTCCAAACACTGGAGCTGAGTGTCAACTGCCATTTATCTATGTTCTTGCAACTTCCTATAAATATCTACCTTGCAATTTCCTATAAAGGTCAAGCCTTGACTCACTTGCCTGGCCAGTATAATAGACATTTGAACTTGTGGCCCTTGCTGTAAAATAGTGGATTTTCAAATTGAGGGTTGTAACCCATTGGTGGGTGTAGAAAACAATCAGAGTCCAAAAGGAAGGAAGGGAAAAAGGAAAGAAGGGAGGGAGGGAAAAAGGGAGAGAGGAAAAGAGGGAGGGGGAGAGGGAGAGAAGGAGAGAAGAGAGAGAGAAAGGGAGAGAGAGAGAGAGAGGGAGAGAGAGAACAGACCAGAGGGATACTTAGCAGAGTTCAGAGGCATTTTTGGTTGTCACATGGTGGAGGTCGGGGAGTTGGGGGAGGGTAAGTTATTACTGGGTCTGGCTCAGAGGCCAGAGATACCGCAGAACACCCTACAAGGCACAGGCCAACCCCTCAACAATGAAATCATCCAGCACCGTCAGTGGTTCCTCAGCTGAGAATCCATGTATTATCCCCATTTTGCAGATAGAGAAACTGATGTTGGCACATTATTAAGTCTTAGCTCAGGGTCTCAGAGAAACAGGAGGCAGAGCTAGGAGTCAGACTGAGGTCTCTGACTCCAAATTCCCTGCTCATAATGACATCATCTGCTGAGCGTGTGATGCCAACTTCTTTCACATGCACAACATGCATGCACATGTGCACATGTGCGCATGTACACACACACACACACACACACACACACACACACACACACACACACACACCACGCTTGCTAAGGTAAGCATTCACCTTTCTCCCGGGCTCCCATGCTTCCTGGGTCTATTTCTTACCTATGACCTCCCAGACCACTGGGATCGCTGCTGTTAACGGCTACCCAGGCCCAGGTTTGTCACCCCCGCCAGGCACGCAGTCTGTGTCACAGCAGCCAAACCCCTACTTTTCACAGTGCGGTTTTCTACACAATTCTTTGCTTTGAAATCACAAAATGCTCCCCGTCTCCTTGCCCTCTGTGATCCTCCTGCCAAACCTGGTGGGCAAGTTGGAAACCACCCACTGGACATTTAATAAATCAGGACGAGTCAGGCTGGGAGAAGTGACTTGCTCAGGGCCATGCAGCTAGTACGCAGCCCGCAAAAGATTAGAACCTGCGACCGTCTGAGCCCTGCTGAGCTCTTTCCACGTTGTAGACGAATGACACTTGCTAATCCCAAGGGGAGCGCGCCTCAACCCCCGGAGGCTGAAGGGTTAATCCTCAGCACCCACCCCC